TCAATTAGCTCTGCGGCAGATACTATGTGTTCAGGCAGCTCGAGCTTAAGATCAAGATCAGTTCGGTCAGGACTCGGATGCAAAGGAAGACTCGATCCACGACGCTACAGAGCACAACCGCGGCATGGCACGTCGCAACTCATCACATCGCAGCACAGCACAGACGTCGGCACGGTACATCAAGATCGATCCACTCAGCATTGCGACCTGGCACGTTCCTTGGCACGTTGCGTGGGGCGTCCCTTGGCGAGTTCCCCTGGCACGTCGCGTGGCGCGTCCCCTGGCACATCTCGTGGCACATCCGTTGGCACGTTCCGTAGCGCGTCCCCTTGGCACGTCCTACGGTGCGACCCCATGGCACGTCCCCTGGCACGTCGCCTGGCGCGTCCCTTGACGCGTTTCGCGGCGCGTCCTCCTGGCAGGTCCCCCTGTCAATTGGCGCTGGGGCAGCTTCTATGTGTTCAGGCAGCTCGAGCTTAAGATCCAGATCAGTTCGGTCAGGACTCGGATGCAAAGGAGGACTCGATCCACGACGCCATAGAGCACAATCGCGGCATGGCACATCGCAATTTATCACGGCGCAGCACAGCACAGCCCTCGGCAGGGGACATCAAGATCGATACACTCAGCATTGCATTTGCCCGTCACCCAATCAGGTGTCTTTGAAAACGCTGCCATGCGTTACATTTCTGTATTCCTTTCCGGGTTCGTGGGCCGATCATGTTTTGTACTTGGACGGGCCCGAAGTCAATTCAGTGTATCTGAATTCCTACTTCCATGTTCCTACCTACTTCTTCGAACTGGCGTTTCCCTTCGTTCCCCATCACCTCCTCGCTCCTGCGCGCGCGTCCTGGCAGCAGGAAGGGCCATAGCAATTTTGTCTCAGGCCAGTCTGAAGAGGCGACGTGATCGCCGACAGCTCACCCGGAGCGCCCGGAAGAACGAGCTGTCCCGATCGCAGGCTTGAGATCGTCAAGGAACGTGCTGCTTACATCTCCTGGCAATACAGGCGGGGCCCTGAAGAAGGAACCCTGTTCGTTGGGGAGGGGCTCCGTGTTCCTTGATTGTTTCGCAGCTTGCCTTGGATTTTCCTCAGGCTTTCGATACGAAATCGAAGTCCAACTTATGGACAATAGGGGCCTCGTTCCTTATTTTGGGTTCCTTAGGTCAACGCCTCGACTGTAGCGGGCGTGACCGAGAGAGGGGGCAGGGGGAGAGGGGGCTGGCCACGTCACGATTCGCGCCGGCGCCGTCTGGGAGTGCTCAGGGAGTTCTAACTCCCACGTGTGTGTTCACTGGAGCCCTGGGCGGCGACATTGAAATCGGCGTTTCTTGCAGATGGGCGCAGTTCGACCTTACCTGGCCCGTTCCTCTGCTTCGCCACGCCTTTCCTCTTCTTCCTCCCCGTCCGCGTTCTTCTCGCTCTCCTCATCTCCCGTGCGAATGGGCGAATCTGGTCCCAAATCTGGTCCAAATCCGGTCCCAAATGTGCTTCGAATCCGGTACCAAGTGTGTTCCAAATCCAGTCCAAGTTCGCGGCCCAAGTCGGAGAAGTGGGCCACGCAAGCTCCCATGGAAGTAAGTCGGGCCTGTCCCTCTACACAGGAAGGTTATTCAGGACTAGTTTAAAAAATAGTCTGGGGACGATTTTTGACAATTTTGAACATTGTTGGGGCATTTTCTCAGTATTTTTAATTTTTCGCCCAAAATCGCCCTGTAGGGGTTTAGGGTTTAGGGTTTAGGGTTTAGGGTTTTAGGGTTTTAGGGTTTAGGGTTTATCTGAATGTCAAAGTGATGAAATTCAAACAAGCGCGGGTAAACGGCGGGAGTAACTACGACTCTCTTAAGGTAGCCAAATGCCTCGTCATCTAACTAGTGACGCGCATGAATGGATTAACGAGATTCCCACTGTCCCTATCTACTATCTAGCGAAACCACAGCCAAGACAGGCCCGACCTAACCATAGAGTGGACACTCAAATAGGGGGGAGTGGGGCTGGTCACAGGCGATCTCGCGAATCATAATCAAAACCCCCGACGTGATGATTTTTGCTCACAAGGTCTACCCCCAGGGCAGTTCCTGGGGCCAGCTTTCGATCCCGAGAAGTGTCTCGACGGTCCCAATCAGAGGATCAAGAGGTCATGATAATGAGAAGTTCCAAGTTGTCCAAGACATCCAGCATTTCCCATATTCTTTATGCTACGCACCGCTGCGCCGCTAGATACTATGGAAAGCTTGGGGCACCTTATCATTACATCCTTCTCGCCCCAGATTCGAGTAGGAGATCGACTACAGATTTGATTTGCCCCAAAATTCGGTTTTCCTCGAATTTAGCAAGTACGTAGGAAGTTCCTAGATCTTGGAGTATTATATGCATTTGCTGGTACATTTCACGAAACACGGTAAATTAATGCTGTAGTCGATCCCGATTTCGCCCTAGACAACCCACCCGTCGCGATTTTTTCATGACCCCAGGGGGTCTGGGAAATCAGGGCTTCGTGGCTCTCTCAGGGGGGGAAGCTTAGACATAGCCACCAAGTAAAAGCGCTGTTTCCAATGAAGCCGTGGGAACATCGTCAGCATACAGTGTGGCTATCTCCTTGATGCAACGAGCCGCCCACTCTTCTGAAACTTCGGTATCATTCAGTGGCGCGGCTGTGCCGGCCCCTGTCTGCTCCCTATGTTGTAACACATTTTGTTCAAATTAAAGCGTTTCGTTCGAGGCATCCTCCCAAAAACGTTTTCGGACGGGTCCTCGAAGGCGAAATTATCAAAAAACGCCATGGGTTTTCAACAGTTTTGTTAAACACATAGCTTTTCGCTCGAGGCATCCTCCAACAATTTCTGAACTCGCGCGGAAAAGTGAACTCCACCTGATATTTGTTGTGGGCGTTCGGGGTAAGAGCGACGTCTAATTTCGCGCGGGTAGTGAACTCCACCTGCTACCTTTTGTGGACGTTCGCGGTGAGCGGTGATTGAAGTTGCACGGATTGTGAATTTTATTTGGTATCTTTTGTGGACGTTCGGGGCGAGCGGCACGTCGGAGTTTGCGCGGATCGTGAATTCCATCTGGTTCTTTTTGCGGATGTTCGGGGTCAGCGGCACGTCTGAATTGGCGCGGATAGCGAAGTCTATTTGGTACCCCCTGTGGGCGTTCGGGAAGAGCGCTTACGCGACATGCGAAGTTGATGTTGGTGCACGTTCTTGCCAAGTTCTTTGATTTCACGCGCTTCCCGTTCATGTCAAGAAGGGTTCCAAAAATGAGCGTTTCGCTTGAGACGTCGTCACAAAATCGAGATCTTGGAGTTTTTCGTTTAAGACGTTGCATGTTAACAATGAGCGTTTCGCTCGAGACATCCTCCAAACATGGAGATCTTGAAATCGCTCGCCTAATTTGCGGATCCTCGAGAATTGACGTTTCACCCGAGACAACCGAAATCATTTGATGCCGACAGAGCTTTTGTAAGGCATCTTTTCGGAGCGATCCTGGATGACTTCCAAGATGGCCCAATCAGCGAAATTATTGAAACAACCAACGTGTTTTCAACACTTTCGTTGAAACATCAGCGTTTCGCTCGAGCCATCCTACAAACATTACCTTCGGACGGGTCCTCGAAGGCGAATTTGTTGAAAAAAGCCATGGGTGTTCAACAGTTTTGTTAAACACATAGCTTTTCGCTCGAGGCATCCTCCAACAATTTCTGAACTCGCGCGGAAAAGTGAACTCCACCTGATAATTTTTGTTGTGTGCGTTCGGGGTAAGAGCGACGTCTAATTTCGCGCGGGTAGTGAACTCCACCTGCTACCTTTTGTGGACGTTCGCGGTGAGCGGTGATTGAAGTTGCACGGATTGTGAATTTTATTTGGTATTTTTTGTGGACGTTCGGGGTGAGCGGCACGTAGGAGTTTGCGCGGATAGCGAAGTCCACTTGGTCTTCCTTGTGGGCGTTCGGGAAGAGCGCTTACGCGACATGCGAACTTGATGTTGGTGCACGTTCTTGCCAAGCTCTTTGATTTCACGCGCTTCCCGTTCATGTCAAGAAAGGTCTCTGGGATGTTGTTCCGAGTACACCTTAGGCGATGCTTAAGAAAACTTACGTTTTCGGCCAGAGTCTCGATTATTCTTAATGTTTCAACGTAAATCCCAAGATTTTAACAGAAATGTTGGGTTTTTTATTCAAGTTCTGAGACTATGAATTTCTTAACCCATGATTTCTTAACCATTTCGCAGGGTGTACGATGGGAGCAACAGAAGCTCAGATCACGAAAGCCGGCGATCAGGAATGCCGCAGTAGATTTTGTTTGCGGTGGAGCACATTGCTGTCGAGTCTGCTTCGTAGGTCGACCCTGCGAAATCAACGGTGCCTTGGTGTCCTCCGTGTTCGCGACCCATGCCCTCCACACTCCTGTGGCAGTGTGGCCCTCGGGAGAGTCCTGTGCCCTCCCGCGCGTCCTCTTCCGTCAGCCTCGACTGTAGCTCTGTGCCGGCGCCCGGCGGGCGGCGAAGAAAGCGGGGTCGACGGCGCGGGGAGGAGGAGGAAGGAGGAGGAGGAGGAAGGAGGAGGAGGAGGAGGAGGGAGGAGGAGGAGGAGGAGGAGGAGGAGGAGGGAGGAGGAGGAGGAGGAGGCGCAAAGCTGCCCGCGTCAGCCTCTGCAGTGAGGCCCAGGTCGGCCGTCGGGGCGCCCTTCGTGGGGCCCAGAGGGCCACAGGGGGCTCCAGCCCAAAGGTCGCGAAACGACGTGCAGCATCGAGAGAGGTCGCGACCAGGGACTCGAAGCCGATCGACCCGCGAAAGAGCGAGAGAAAGCCAGCCAGCCAGACAAACAGACAGAGAGAGAGAGAAACTTCCACGCGCGGGCCAATGGATCACGCTGCGCTGCGCAAGACCAGAAGGCCGTAAGAGAGACCTTTTCAGGTACGATTCCAAGTCCAGCAGGATCTGGTCTGCACTTCTTGGGAGCCCTCCGGCCCGATCAGCGCTGCTCGTGGAATCCCTCGGCAGCCGTTGAGGCTCGAGCAGCTCGGGCGCCCTGCCGGCGCTGGGGATCATGTAGGGTGCCGCGCGTCTCCCTCGCCACCACCTCCTGCCCACATGAGTGCGGCGACGGTGCCGTCCGGAGAGCCCGACGACGACGGGGCCGACCGGGAGAGCAGGGCCGGCGAGGCCAGCGCCGGCGTGCAGGGCCGAGGAGAGCGGGCTGCCGAGGGCAGCGCCGGCCCGCTGCGGGGCCCCGGGGAGTCTGCGGGCGGGAGGGCGGCTCTGAGCGTGGCGCGGAGGTCTCCTCCTCCTCCCTCCTCCTCCTCCTCCTCCTCCTCCTCCTCCTCCTCCCCCTCCTCCTCCTCCTCCTCCTCCTCTCCTCCTCCTCCTCCTCCTCCTCCTCCTCCCCTCCTCCTCCTCCTCCTCCCCCCCCCTCCTCCCTCCTCCCTCCTCCTCCTCCTCCTCCTCCTCCTCCTCCTACTCCTCCTCCTCCTCCTCCTCCTCCTCCTCCTCCTGACGGGCGGGCGGGCGGGCGGGAGGTCGACTGTGAGCACGAGGAAGTCGCGCGGCACGGGCCTGCACGGCGACGAGGTCGTCCCGTCTGCGTTCGAGAGGTTCCTCGTGGAGCATGCCTGTTGGGCGTGCTGGGGGTTCTTCGTCACGGCGCTGGTGCTGGTCCTCGTGTTCGTCGCAATGATTCCCGCGGGAGCCATAGTGGTCACGCACCAGTCCGTCTGGGACGTGCGCTCGAATTTGGACGTCATGAAGTCGCACGCGTTCGCGGAGGCGAAGAAAGACATGAGCGACCACGATCTCGAGGGAAACGAGACGGACTCGGAGCGAAGCGGGTTCTTCAAGAGTTTGACGATCGTCTACGAAGTCCAAGGCGGTAACATTTTCAGCGAAGAGAACCAGGAGAAGATGAGAAAGGTCGAGAACGCACTGGTGAACTCACCGAAGTGGCAGGACTACTGCATGCTGATCACGTCGAGCTCCGACACCCCGCAGACAGTGTGCACGGGAGGCGCGTCGGCACTACGCTTCACCCACACGGGGCCCGCGATCCAGACGGCCCATCTGAACGACGGTTTTGGGCCTTGCGGCGGGAGCCCGGCAGAGGCGAGCCGATGTCAGGCGGCCCCGTTCACAGTGGGCGCCCCGCCGTGCGTCTCTCGGGCCTTCAGCCCCGTGGCGGACGCGGCCGCCCTCGACGGCGCTTTCGCCGAGGAGCTGTGGTGCACGTGCTGCGCGGAGCTCAGAGGAGGACAAGTGTTTCCGGTGCTGCTACCCTTCCCTCGTTTTGCCCCTTTGGGGCCTCCCAGGAGGTCCTCGTCGCCACCGCTGGATTCGCCTCGAAATTCTGGTCAGAACGCACACCGGGAGAAGTCAGGGGAGTGGCGGTATCGATACCTTTTGTCGGCAGCGAGCCTGGGGGAGAAGTGAGAGGAGGCGGGCCTTCTCAGAAGGCTCGGAAGTTCCCCGGCCTTCGGAGAAGTTTTCTGAGCCTCCCCCGAGGACGCAGAAAGACTTCTCAGAAGGCGCGAGAGCCTCCGAGAATTCCCGCCGCCTTCTGAGGAGGCCTTCTCCTTCTCCTTCTCACTTCCCCCCGCCAGTCTCGCCGACGATGTTGGTTTCCCCAGGAGCCGGACAGCCCGGGCTGCGACGGGGCAGCTGCCGCGTGCGGACACGACGCCAACGAGGCGCTCTGCGGACAGACCGTGCAGCAGGCGCGCAGGGACAAGCGCAGGGCGCACATCTCGGCGGCGAGCGGGGGGGGGAAGTGAGAAGGAGAAGGCCTCCTCAGAGGGCGGCGGGACTTCTCAGAAGCCCTCGCGCCTTCTGAGAAGCGTTCTGTGCCCTCGGGGGAGGCTCAGAAAACTTGTCCGAAGGCCGTGGGAACTTCTGAGCCTTCTGAGAAGGCCCGCCAGGAGGAGGAGGAGGAGGAGGAGGAGGAGGAGGAGGAGAAGGAGGAGGAGGAGGAGGAGGGGGCGGAGGAGCAGGGGGAGGAGGAGGAGGGGGAGGGGGTGGAGGAGGAGGAGGAGGAGGAGGAGGAGGAGGAGGAGAGAGGAGGAGGGGGAGGGGGCGGAGGAGGAGGGGAGGAGGGAGGAGGAGGGGGGATGGGGCGGAGAGGAGGGGGAGGAGGGCGACGAAGGGGGGGAGGGCCCTCTCACTTCCTCCCCCCTGGGCTCGCCGCTGAACGTCGGGGCCGAGTTCTCCTGCGCGACCGGGGAGGCGCTGCGCGCCCGGTCCTGGTACGAGCTCGGGGCGCCCATCGGCGGTGTTCGGGGGCAACGATAGTTTGGCATCGCTCGGACGTGTGCATTTTTCCTTCGGCGAGGATCATCGAGGAGCATCCTTGAGCATCTGGCGACAAAAGCACGCACGAGACCGACAAAAAGCACAGGGAGTGGACGTCCGAGCGATGGCCAGATAGGGGGGGATAGGCACAGGGGGGGGCTGCATCGGCACCCACTGATCGCTGGCAGGGGGCCGAGAGCCCCGCCCAGCCCAGGAAGGTGCGGAGATCTGTCGACGGTGTGTCGCCGATTCCAGGTCGGTGCATCCCCCCCTGTGCCTCTCCACCCTACACCTTAGGCGATGCTCAAGAAAACCGAAGTTTTCGGCCAGAGTCTCGATTATTCTTAACGTTTCAATGTAAATCCCAAGATTTGGATAGAAGTTCTGGGTTTTATTCAAGTTCTGAGACTATGAATTTCTTAACCCATGATTTCTTAAGCATTTCGCAGGGTGTATCACTGCCCCTCAGGTGAGACCGATGAGGACAAGCTGGAATCTCTGGTGAAGCCATGGGTGGACGGCGCCCTTTTCTCGGATCTGTGGGAGGCCCGGACCGAGGTTGCCTCGGACAATTTCGAGGTTTATGGAGGACGCCTAAGGCGAATCACCACCGCCCCCTGCCTGTAGGAAGAGTCGAGGAGGAGGAGTAGGAGGAGGAGGAGAGCCTGTGTGGCCGAACGTTGCGGCCAGAGCTCGGTCAGGTTATGGGACTGCGTGTTCCCCCAGCCGTTGTTGAGACCCTCCTGAGAGCGCGTGGGGGAGACAGAACGCAAGCATGGATTAAGGGGGAATCAGGCGATCGCAAAGATGGATTAAGGGGGCGTGGATTAGCGACGGGTCCCGTTGCCATGGGAAACCGCGGATTTCCGCCACCGAGCAAGGCGGCATTTTGGGGAGGGCACCTCCCCCGATCCGTGGATTTGGCGACCGGACGCCAAATCCATGGATCGCTAATCCATGTTTGCGCGCCCCCGAGAAGGAGAAAGGAAGAGGTGGAGGAGGAGGTGACCTCGTGGGAGCTTGTGGCCTCCTGGGAGCTTCCCGGAGGCTTCTTGGAGGCCTCTCCGGTGTCTTCCTTGGGCCGATTGGTGACCTCGGGAGGGTTTTCCTGGACTGTTGTGCGCCGTCAGATGCTGGGCCTCATTGGGTCGACTTGGGGCCCTCTTGGGGCGCCTCAGGGCCGTCTTGGAGACCATCTTGCGCGTCTTGGAGGTCTCCTGGGCCGTTTGGGGCGCCTCTTGGGTCGTCTGGGGGGCCATGGGGGGCCATCTCGGAGGCCTCTTGGGCGCTCTTGGGGCGATCTTGGGGACGTCCTGGGCCGTCTCGAGCCGTCGGAAGACCGAAACGAAGCAGATGCCCAAATCCGTCAGAACCTGGATGGACAATCTATGATTCGGACTTCTTCGAGCCTTCCTGGAGTTTCCATTGGAGGCCTCTTGGTCTGTCTTGAAGGCCTCTTGGGCGCTTCTTTGGCCGTCTTGGGCCATCTTGAGGCCTTATGCCGTCTTGGGTGCTTCTTGGGCCGTCTCGGTGACATCTTGCGGCCATCTTGGCCGTCTTGGAGGCCCATCTTACCCGTCTTGGAGGCCATTTTGGAACCGCCTTGGACGTTCACACCCACGACCCGCCTACTTTCCCGAGCTTTCGGCTGCTTTCTCGGCGGGTTGGGCCGAGACCCCACTGGCTCTTCAGAAAGTAGCCTGGACCCTCTAGAGAATGAGCACGCCTTGCACCCCTGTGATGAATCACCAGGGGGCGGAAGATTTAGCAGCATTCGGCCCATGCCGCCGCCATCGTGCCTAGGTTGTGGGTGAGAGGCCTCTTGGATGACTGGGCATCTCTTGGGGATCTCTTGGGAGGCGTTTTGGCGGAGTGTTTCTGGACCTCTTGGGGGCCCTTCCGCGGCCCGATGTGGGCCTGTTGGGACTCTAAAGTGAGCTGGGGGACACGGGGAGCGGAAGCGAGCGTGTGCCCGCGGCCGCGTCGGCTCAAGCGGTCGGACGCCCAGATGCGATTGTGCCTCATTGTGAGGCATACGAGGAGCCATCGAGACCAAAAGGACCTTCCCACTGCTTCAGATGGTACGCCCTCTACTCCTGGGACTATCGCTGCTTCGGTACAACAGGGCTGGGGCTGGGCTTCGCCTGAGGCGAAGTTGCTGGTTGGGCCTCCCAACCCCGGCCTACGGTGGTCAGCTCAAGCTCTACTCCTCACCATCCACGGCACAATCTGGTGGACTACAGACATGGTCCATGGTGGAACATCAGGGTGCAGTGGGTTTGCGCGGAGGAATGTATATAACTACGCAATATAGCAAGGACACTTGCAGTGACACCTCTGCTTACGCGGAGGCCTTTTACTTTCGTCCTACATCCCTGCGCTACTACACTCCTGAAGCCCACCCCCTTACTCCAATTGGAAATTTCTTCGGAAATATAATGCGTGGAAACATGCGATACGACACGGTGCCGCCTCCCCCCCCACGCAGACTTACGACCGCACATCGGAAGCCCCAACCGACTACATCCGACTACGACCTGCGAGGCCATTGGATTGGTGTTGGTATCTTTGGGATCACATGTGTCGCTATCGGGTGCGCGGTAGGGCACATGCGTGGTGGAGACGACACAAGAACCACCAGCCCTCATTGGGACCCAGCCGGCCAGGTACCTTTTCGCGAATCCGCCCGCGAGGTACATGCCTGGATCAACGTGACCACAGGCAACGTGACGCAAGAGCGCCAGTGGATTACCCCGTAGTTTCGGGGGGGGGTTCTCGAACACCCCCCCTCCCCCTCCCTTCGGACCCCCCCCCTCCCCCCATGAAGGGGGGGGGGGTCACCCCCCCCTCCCCCCCTTTGAAGGGGGAAGGGGGGTCCAACCCCTCCCTTCCCCGCCCCCCCGTTGGCGCTGGAGACGGGGGGGGGGGGTTCACCCCCCCCCTCCTTTGCGCCAGACGGGGAGCTGGAGAGCGGGGAAACGCAGGGGAGAGAAGGCAAGATGTGGGGAACAAGTGAGGAGGTTCGGGGCTTAGGGATCCGGGGAGGACCCAACCATATGAACTTGCGGGTACCGCAATTGTGAACTTCTTCTTCGGTGAAGCTCCCTATGGGGCCACGAAGCGCTGCGCTGGGCGGGGGGGGGACGCATGCGGGCGGTAGCACTGGGGCCGTCGGTGGAACTCCTTATGAGGCCACGAAGCGCTACATTGTGTGTGTTTGTGTGTGTTTGTGTGTGTTTGTGTGTGTGTGTGTGTTTGTGTGTTTGTGTGTGTGTGTGTGCGTGTGTGTGTGTGTGTGTGCGTGCGTGCGTGCGTGCGTGCGTGCGTGCGTGCGTGCGTGCGTGCGTGCGTGCGTGCGTGCGTGCGTGCGTGCGTGCGTGCGTGCGTGCGTGCGTGCGTGCGTGTGTGTGTGTGTGTGTGTGTGTGTGTGTGTGTGTGTGTGTGTGTGTGTGTGTGTGTGTGTGTGTGTGTGTGTGTGTGTGTGAAAATACCTAATTAGACGTGCGGGACGCATGCGGGCAGTTTTATTCAGGGTTTTGGCGGGGCTCCCCATGGGGCCGCGAAGCGTTGTAAAGGGCGGGTGAAAATGCGAATTTTCAGGAAGAGGACGCATGGGGGCGGCCCCACTGGTGGCTTTGGTGGGGCTCCCTATGGGGCCACGAAGCGCTGTACTGGGCCTGCGAAAATGCCAAATTGGGTGTGGGGGACGCGTGCGGGCGGTCCCACTGGAGTTTTCGGTGGGCTCCCTGTGGGGGACGCATGCGGGCGGTCCCATTGGGGGCTTCGGTGGGGCTCCCTATTGGGCCACGAAGCGATGTATTGGGCGGGTGAAAATGCCAAACTGGGCATTGTGGACGCATGCGGGCGGTCCCATTGGGGGCTACGTTGGGGCTCCCTATGAGGCAACGAAGCGCTGTAATGGGTGGGTGACACTGCCAAATCGGGTGTGGGGGACGCATGCGGACGGTCCCACTGGGGGGCTCGGTGGGGCTCCGTATGGTGCCACGTAGCGCTGTATTGGGTTGGTGTCACTGCCAAGTTGGGTGTTGGGGGGCGCATGCTGGCGGTCACGGAAGCTTCGCCGGGGCTCCCTATTGGGCCACGAAGCGCTGTACTGGGTGGGTGAAAATGCCAAATTGGGTGTGGGGGACGCATGTGGGCGGTATCACTGGGGGTTCGGTGGAGTTCTTTATGGGGCAACGAAGCGTTGGGTGAGTGAAAATGCCAAATTGGGCGTTGGGGGCGCATGCGGGCGGTCCCACTGGGGGTTTCGGTGGAGTTCCCTATGGGACCACGGAGTGCTGTACTGGGTGGGTGACAATGCCAAATTGTGTGTGGGTAACGCATGCAGGCGGTCCCACTGGGGGTTTTGGTGAGGCTCCCTATGGGGCCACGAAGCGTTGTACTGGGTGGGTGAAAATGCCAAATTGTGTGTGTGTGGGGGGGGGGGACGCATGTGGGCGGTATCATTGGGATCTTCGGTTGAGCTCCCCATGGGGCCACGAAGCGCTCTACTGGGTGGGCGCAAATTCAAAATTTGATGTGGTGGGCGCATGTGGGCGGTACCGCTGGGGGCTTCGGTTGGGTTTCCCTATGGGGCCACGAAGCGCTGTATTGGGTGAGTGAAAGTGCCAAATTAGGCGTGGGGAGCGTACGCGGGCGGTCCCGCTGGGGGCTTCGGTGGGGCTCCCTGTGGGGCCACGAGACGCTGTACTGGGCGGGTGAAAATTGCAATTTTGGTGTGGGGGACGCATGCGGGCGGTCCCAGTGGGGGCTTCGGTGGGGTTTCATACTGGGCCACGAAAGGCTGTATTTGATGCGTGGAAATGGCAAATTTGATGTGGGGGGCGCATGTGGGCGGTACCATTGGTGGATTCGGTTGGGCTCCCCATGGGGTCACGAAACGCTGTACTGGGTGGGCGAACGTGCCAATGTGTGTGTGTGTGTGTGTGTGGTGTGTGTGTGTGTGTGTGTGTGTGTGCGTGTGCGTGCGTGCGTGCGTGCGTGCGTGCGTGCGTGCGTGCGTGCGTGCGTGCGTGCGTGCGTGCGTGTGCGCGTGTGCGTGTGCGTGTGCGTGTGCGTGTGTGTGTGTGTGTGTGCGTGTGCGTGTGTGTGTGTGTGTGTGTGTGTGTGTGTGTGTGTGTGTGGGGGGGGGGGGGGGGCGCATGCGGGCGGTCCCACTGGGGGCCTCGGTGGAACTTCCTATGGGGCCACGGAACGCTGTACTCGGTGGGTGCAAATGCCAAATTGGGTATGGGGGGCGCATGCGGGCGGTCCCACTGGGGGCTTCGGTGGAGTTCCATATGGGGCCACGAAACGCTGTACTGGCTGGGTGAAACGCATGGCGGAAGGAGGAGGGAGGGGAGGAGGAGGAGGAAGGCGAGGATGAGAAAAAGAAAGGGACGAGGGGACCGTCTCTTCAAAACGAGGACCCAACACCTCAGGATGGTTGGGAAAACACACACACATGTACAAAGTGCTCGCGGGCATAACGAACATTGTTCCAGACTTTGCCCAAAAGTGTATCTTGTATTGCTTTTTGAAAGGGATGGTGGGGGCGCGTTGGGTTGGCCGCACATGCTCCCAATTTGGAGGCAGAGTGCGTTTTCTATTGTTCGCAGCCATCCTGTG